CCCACCGACAACCACTGAGACGGTTGGCCCGAACATGAGTAACGAAGAAATTAAAGCAGATATCTTATCGTCACTGAGAGGCGAAATCGCTAAAGTGATAAGAGACGAACTTAAAGGCGCATTAGCAGAAGATTTTCAAGCTATAAGAGCCGAACTGCTAGCGGCCCGTTCCAACATTGCTAACAGCACAAAGACCATACAAACTGAAGTGGATATTATAAAGACGGACATCTTGGACATAAAGGGTGGCCTATCAACGTGGTCAGATGAAGTTACTTCACTACAGTCTACTGTAACCAGCTTACAGAAGGAAATGGCCACGCTGAAAGATAAATGTGAAGATCTAGAGGGGAGAATGAGAAGGTCCAATATAAAATAAAAATATAAATAAATATAAAATTGTAACTTACAATGTAAAAGGACTCAATAATCCAGTCAAAAGAAAGAAAATATTGACTCAATTAAAACAAATTAATTGTCACATTGCTTTTCTCCAAGAAACCCACCTATCTGATACAGAGCATGAAAAATTAAAAAATCTTGGGCAGACAAGGCTTTCTATTCATCCCACCAGTCAGGAAAAAAGAAAGGTGTTGTCATACTTATGCACCGACAGATTAATTTCACACAAACATTGTTACGTAGAGATACAGAGGGAAGATACATGTTAGTTAATGGTACAATTGATGGCATAGAAGTTTTGCTTGTAAATCTATATGCACCCAACTTGGATGCACCAGATTTCATAAAGTCACTGTTTAAGGTAATATTACAGCACAGCACCGGGCTGTTGTTGCTGGGTGGGGACTTCAATTGTATTTTGTCACAAATATTGGACAGATCACCCTCACCAAGAACTCCACTCTCTAGAATGAGTAGGATGCTTAAATATCAGATCATAGAGACAGGTATTGTAGATGTATGGAGGAGCAGGTTTCCCAGAATTAAAGACTTTACTTTCTACTCAAGTAGTCATGCATCCTACTCTAGGATCGACTATTTTTTTACCCCAAAGTCAGAACTGCATAGAATAGTGGATATTGAAATATTACCTATTACTACTTCTGACCAATCACCTGTCTTATTAAAATGGGATATAGGACATAGGTTAACATCTAAACAATGGAGACTTAATACGTCCCTACTCAATGACAAAGTATTCATCACATTCATTACAGCGGAGCTCAAGATGTACCTAGAAACTAATACATCTACAAAAACAACACCTCTGATGTTATGGGACTGTGCCAAAGCATTCCTTCGAGGCCGCATAATTTCCTTCACATCTGCAAGGAAAAAACACAAGAATGCTAAACAAAAAGATTTGGAGGATAGAATCAAAGATTTGGAGTTTAAACATAAGAGATACGCTTCAGGTAAAATCCTGAAGGAATTAAATGCAACCCGCAGACAACTAAACAGTCTATTGTTAGATAAAGTAGAGGGTAACTAATCAAAAATATTATGAACACGGTCAGAAAGCCAGTAGGTTATTAGCATTTAGATTGAGGAAACAACAGTCCTCCAATATGGTTCATAAAATAAAATCCCAAGAGACTGTTGAGACAAGTCCTGACAAAATAGCTGAGGCCTTTGCAAAATTTTATAAATTACTATATACAAATACTGATACCTGTAATAATGACCAAGAGCTTACAGAATATTTAAATAACATAAAATTGAACCAATTAACGGATGAGATGGCGCTGGAATTAGATCAACCAATTGAGGAATGGGAGATTAAGCAGATAATTAAATCACTCAAGAACAACAAAAGTCCAGGCCCAGACGGATTTACCAATGAGTTCTATAAAACTTTTGTAGATCTTCTGGCCCCCTTGCTATTAAAAGCATATCATCATGCGTTAAAATCCAAAACTATGGCACCATCCTGGACAGAAGCCACAATAGTAGTAATCCACAAAGAGGGCAAGGATCCTACAGATTGCCAGTCCTATTGACCCATATCACTATTGAATACAGACTCACGCATACTTACAGCAATCCTAGCAAGACGACTTAACATTTTTATCACCCAAATCATACACCCCGATCAGACAGGATTTATTGTTGGTAGGTACTATGGTGATAATCTAAGACGCTTACTAAACCTAACAAGCGTTCAAAGAGAGAGAAAGATTAAATCAGCAATCATCTCTTTAAATGCCCAAAAGGCGTTTGATAGAGTCTCCTGGAAATATTTAATTCATACCCTTAAACGCTTTGGATTTGGTCCATATTTTGTTGATTGGGTGCAAACACTCTACTCCTCACCACAGGCAGCAGTTAAAGTTAACGGCTATAGGTCTACTAGATTCTCATTAGAACGGGGGTGCAGACAAGGATGCCCACTCTCACCCCTCCTGTTTGCCATTAGTATTAAACCATTAGCTCAAATCATTTGAGAGGATGCTAATATTAAAGGGATAGAAATCAATAAAGACGTACAGAAAAATTTCATTATATGCTGATGATGTATTGTTGCACTTGACAGAACCTAATTCAACAATCCCCCACCTAAAAGAGCTCATCTCTCAATATGGATTCTATTCAGGCTATAAAATCAACATAGAAAAAACGGAAGCTATGGATGTAAATGGCACAATTTCAGACCTCATAAAAGTACAGAGTGGATTCAAATGGCCCAAGAACGGGATCAAATATCTGGGTATTCAAATACCTCCGTCTCTATGTGACCTATATGAGACAAACTATAGTAAACCTCTACGAATCATTAAAAATGACCTGGAGTGTTGGGATACCCTTCCCATCTCTCTGATAGGACGTGATGAAAGTATCCGCATGAATGTTTTACCAAGACTACTCTATTTATTCCAGATGCTACCTGTGGAAATTCCCAAATCTACCTTTGACACAGTAGATAAAATGATAACTGGATTCATTTGGCAAAAAAAGCGTCCTAGAATCAGACTGAAAACTCTACAGTTACCTAAATCCAAGGGGGGCTTTAAACTCCCAAATTTGAAATATTATTACTGGGCTGCACAACTTAAGCCCCTACTAGCATGGCTACAGAATAGTGCAGACACTCGCTGGTTGGAAATAGAGGAAAGCAGATGCTCAGTACCACTGCAAACATTACCTTTCTTAGATACCCCTGCAAAGGAAATGACAACCTGGACAAAAAACACTCTCAAAGTCTGGAACTCAATACAATCGGCTTTTAAGTTATCAAAGCAGATTTCACTTTTATCAAATATAGGATTTATAAAGACATTTACACCAAACAATTTAGATTCCAGGTTCAAAAACTGGTCTAATTATGGACTATCTCATATCCATCAATTAATTAAAGAGGGAAACTTCAAAACATTTGAGCAGATGAAAAGTGAATTTGGTCTCCCTAAGACAGACTTCTATAGATACCTACAACTTAGAACCTTTGTAACAACACACAATAATTGGACTAAACTCCATGAATCTACACCTATAGAACATTTCCTAAAGAACATACAAAGGGGAAAATGTAATAACAATGTAATTAGTAAAATATAAAACCTGTTTCTGTCTATGAACGGGCATGATTCCACAAACATAAAGCTTAAATGGGAAACTGAACTGCAGGAGTCAATAGCAGGGGACACACGGGAAGAAATGTGTACCGACGCACAATTAACAACAAATTCTAACACAAGGAGAGAATTCAAATGGAAAGTAATAGTCCGATTTTTCAGAACGCCAACAATAACCAGTAAAATGGGCCCAACTCAACCAAGTTCATGTTGGAGAAACTGCGGGACACAGATTGCAAATCATACGTACATCTTTTGGTCCTGCCCTAAACTAAGTGTATTCTGGGAGGACATCTTTGAAGCACTTAAAGTAATTTTCAGGAGCAATTCTGGGAGAAATACCCGATGGAATAGACAGGAAGGGGGATAGATACCTGTTAAGAATCTTGCTTACAGCAGCATTGAAATGCATAACTATCAGATGGGTGAAGCCAGAGCCTCCTACATATAACACATGGATACAAAAAGTTTGGGACATTTACATGATGGAAGGAATAACATATTCCTTAAGGTTTCAAAAAACAGTTTTTAATACAAGATGGAGCTCTGTCATACCGCTACTAACTCAGTGACACATCTACAGGATAGCCCTTGTGCATTAGAGTATATCTTTGGGTCGATGTAAAATACTATGAATGTGTGGATTGTCTTATCTCAGGAGGGGATTCAGTCAAGTGTTATGTACCATTTTATTTTATTTTACTGTTATCTGCCTGTTGATTTCAATCTGTTGTCATGTATGCATTATTACATGTGTTAGAAAACCCACTGACTCACCTTTCGATGTCTCGTGTAATATTGTGGCTATAGGTCGGTGGAGACAAAAGATTGTAAGATTGTCATGTGTTATAAAAAAAAAAATAAAAAAATAAAGTTCAAAAAAAAAAAAGCTGTAACACGTGTTCACCTGCTGAAATCAATCAGGGTGAGACTGGGTCTGAAGAATATGGGGTTCATGACTTCATAGCACTTTTCTAACATATATGTGCGAATAAGGTGTTACAAGTTTTTAGAAGCACACTTTCCACAACCAATATGCTTATTAAAACCTTTCAGCATAACCAGCATTTATGCTCAAATTCACTGGAATGATCCCTGGGGACGAAGCTCCGATGTCAATCAAAAGACTGATATGCTTAGAAAAAAATAACTGTATTGGCCTAAATTTCAGCTTAGCAGTAAAAAGATTCCACTATGCTGAAATGTGCTGCCGATAATCCTGGAGGCACTGAGGATTTTGGTGGTTGGCTCTTCTTCTCTTTTACAAGCCTTTCAAAATATCATCAAATTATATAAGAGATGTTTGACTTCATTGGTTAATTCTTTCATCATCCTTTTACTCAGCATTGTTTAAAAGATGCAACAGCATAGTGTATTTATTTCAGGGATTGGGGTTTACAAGGAGGGACCTGTTAAAAAGAAATAAACGCTCTAAGAAACGTATGAAGGGGAAGGGCTGTCCCTTACCTCTGTAGAAGGAAGTGAAGCAAAACACATCGTAGTGAGTCTTGCCCTTATCTCTCAAGCCATAATTGCGAACGCCTGGCGGTGTGTTTTTCCCTCCGCATGGTTCTCTGGGGTTGGTGATGGGGTACTGTACCGTACCATCACTCAGCCAACCTGCGTTGCACCAGTCCATCCCTTCTTGCCATGCGTCATACAGCTGTTTAAAAGAGGCAACAACAGCATCCTGGTCTCGACATGCCCGCGCAGCGTCATTAAAATTAAGGTTGTAGCGTCCCAAGCGTGGAAAGTAGGGGAAGACAACACCTGCAGAGAGAGGCCAACAACAGGAAAGCCTTGATGCAATGACTCAGTTGTACATCTCATGTGGGTTGTTTCAAATTTTTATTGATCCTGGTGACTGACAGCGGCTCTCACTGAGCAAACACAGCTGCTTCCCTCTCAGCCTGCTGCCAGTGGCTGTGGCTCCAAGCACTAAATGGCATGAGACTCCAGCTGTTCTCAAACATAATAAAACTGCTGTCACACTAATGTACACTGTGCTCACATTTGCTAACATTCCTCCTATAACTCCAGTTTCTGGAGCTAAATTTGGAATGAATGCATTAACAATAGAACACCAACAGTATAAAGTCATTCCAGGAGTTCATTGCTTCCTTTTTTTTTTTTTTTTTAACTAGACCACTCAAAATGTTACCTTCAAGTTCAAGGGACACTACTGCTGTATCATCTTCCAGACCATCCATGACTTCACATCTATATGTCCCATAATCATCTAATGTGAGATCCTTCATCACCAGGGAGGCGTCCATAGGAGAGGAGCGTTGCAGGTGGACACGTCCCTGGAAGGTCCCGTAACTTTTATTGCGATGACCGGCAGCAACAAAAACTTTCACCTAAAGCACGATCAGAGGAGACAGATTGTACTTCTTAAATTCTAAGCTTTTTTTTTTAATCTAAAATACAGTGGAACAACTAAGAACAGAAGAAACGTACTCTACTAACAACTAAATCCAGATACATTGTGTGAAAGACAACAGATGTGATGGTGTTTTACATAAAAGTGGTTGTTTTGTTGTAAAATCTCCACAAAAAAATTACAATTAGGGTAAAATAAGTGTTTTTAAATGTGTTCCTTTCTTTAATGTATTTCTGGGAGACATGTTATGGGATATAGTGAAGATCTTAAAGGGGCCTCATCATGCACCATAGCTTAAAAAATCCCCAAAACAATGTGTTCTCAAATATCAAGTATACTTTAAAACTGTTGGCCAAGAGTTAGTTGGAAGGGCTGGTTGAAAAATGTAAATATTACCTGTGGTTAGTTATCCTGAGCATGCTGCTATAGGCTTTGACTGCTGGAGGACATAGGGACCCTTTTTCCTCATTCTGCTTCATTCTATCTCTATTCTTCCACTCCGCAGAATTTGTTAGTTCAATCTTATTATGCTCTCTGCCTTTTCTCCTAGTAGCTTAATCTGGTCTCTTCCTGTTTGGCTGTGACACCATCCTGAAATCCAGAAATATCAGCTGTTCTGCTGCCATCATCACCTTTGTTTATAGATGTTTTATACACTACTCAAAAAATTAAAGGAACACTTTGTAATCAGAGTATAGCATCAAGTTAATTAAACTTCTGGGATATTGATTTGGTCAGGTAAGTAGCAGAGAGGGTTGTTAATCAGTTTCAGCTGCTTTGGTGTTAATGAAATTAACAACAGGTACACTAGAGGGCAACAACGAGACGACCATCAAAACAGGAATGGTTTTACTGGTGGAGGCCACTGACATTTTTTCCCCTCCTTATCTTTTCTGACTCTTTTTCACCAGTTTTGCAGTAGACTAGGGTCACTGTCACTACTGTTAGCATGAGGCGCTACCTGGACCCTACAGAGGTTCCACAGGCAGTCCAACTCATCCAGGGTGGCACATCAATACGTGCCATTGCTGTGTCTCCCAGCACAATCTCAAGAGCATGGAGGAGATTCAAGGAGACAGGCAGTTACTTCAGGAGAGCTGGACAGGGCCGTAGAAGTTGAGAGTATGCAGGCAGTTCCTTGAGAATGAAGGAATTGATACCATTGTTTGGCCCCCACGCTCGCCTGACCTAACTCCAATAGAACACCTCTGGGACATTATGTTTTGATCCATCCGACGCCGCCAGGTTGCACCTCAGACTGTCCAGGAGTTAAGTGAGGACCTGGTCCAGATCTGGGAGGAGATACCCCAGGACGCCATCCGTTGTCTCATTAGGAGTATGCCCCGACGTTGTCAGGCATGCATAGACACACGTTGGGGCCATACAAATTACAGAATACCATTTTGAGTTGCTACAATGAAATTTCAGCAAAAGTGACTAGCCTGCCGTATAATTTTTTCACTGTAATTTTTGGGGTGTCTTTGAATTCAGCCCTCTGTAGGTTGATCATTTTCATTTCCATCAAATGATGCGGCATCCTTTTGTTCCTAACACATCACCCAGTCCATATAGCCCAGTCAGTATAAATAAACAGCATGATTTTTTTCCCAATTGAGATCTTATGTGTTTTCAAAGTGTTCCTTCAATTTCTTTTAGCAGTATATATATATGTATATATATATATATATATATATATATATATATATATATATTTTGATCATTTTCATTACCATCAAATGATGCGGCATCCTTTTGTTCCTTACACATCACCCAGTCCATATAGCCCAGTCAGTATAAATAAACAGCATGATTTTTTTCCCAATTGAGATCTTATGTGTTTTGAAAGTGTTCCTTCAATTTCTTTTAGCAGTATATATATATATATATATATATATATATATATATATATATATATATATATATATATATTTTGTGTAGTCCTGCTTCTCTGACTGTGACTAACTGGATGTGATCTTTTAATCCTTTGACATGGGGGCTGGCTCGGAGCTTGTCTGCCCAGCTGTAGCTTTACTGGTTGGGGCCACCTGTGGAGCTTTTTGACAAGTTACACTTGTATCGCTGCTTATTTCTGTATGTCTGCTTCTGTATTCTTAAACCCCAGTCGGCCTCAACAGATGGCCGCTCAAACTGAGCCTGGTTCTGCTGGAGGTTTCTTCCCGTTAAAAGGAAGTTTTTCCTCTCCACTGCCGCTACAAGCATGTTTGGTGTGAGGGATTGCCTTAAATAGAAAATTCTGAATCAATTTGACTGTATGATTTGGTTGAATTGTATTTGTAAAGTGCCTTGAGAGGAAATGTTTTGGCGCTATATAAATAAACTGAATTGAATTAAATTAGTGATTGAAAAGATGAACTTAAAGCTGAATTACTTTTAAAAACACATTTGAATTAACATACATCCTGACCTAAAAAATAGTTTAAAAAAACCCCAAACAACTTGTAATTTTTAACCTGCATACAGTAAATATGCAGTTTCAGAAGGTACACAAGCTTTTTCTTCACATTGTACATTAAAATATAGTAAGATTAAAAAATGATAGAAGTTTACATTGATATTGACAAACAAGACATTATGGCATAAAACTACCGGTAAGTGTTTTTATTGATCCCTCTTTAACTTTAATCTTTAATAACCTAATAATATAAAACAATCCAAAACTAATGCAGGTTATGGGTTTCAAACCCCCCTAAATCATTTCTTGTTTTCCCTGTGCATGTGTTAGAGATCTCCAGGTACTCCAGCCTCCTCCCAGAGCCCCATAACATTTCCGTTGGTCTGAATGTGCCTGCAAGGTTGTTTGCCCTGTGTGTACTCCACCTCTCCGCCAACAACCACCGATAGAAGCGCCAGTGCCCTTATTGGTATACAGGAAGCTCACAGAAGGAAATCAAGTCCTCAAATTTGTTCATTATTAAATCTGCACCTGGGCTCATTGGTTATAATATAATATTGATGGTTCATTTTAAGTCAAAGTGTCAGTAGCAGTGCTATCACTAAGCAAAAAATGTGCCTACCTTAAAAGGTAAGACAAAAAGAGTATCACATCTGAATTTAAAATGCTTCGACAGATCAAATAATTTTCACTGCATTATAAGAGAGAATATAAAACTTTTAAATTCAGATTGAATGTTACCTCCTTCAGAAAGTCTGCTGTGTCTTTAGTCCACTTGATCCTCATTGTGGATATGGATGTTAGCTGCGGGTCCCTTTGAATCCTGCATGGTAAAGTTACAGTTCCCCCTCGCCTCGATATGACCTTGCTTTGTCCGCTCGTCACATTCAGTTTAGGCCCATTTTCTGTAATACAGAAATAGCAACTAACTTCATATGAAGATGGTTTCCTGCAAGAGGTTTGGAACTACATATTGATTCATTTGATTAATTTATTATTACAACTAATTGTAATTATTACTATTTACTGTACTACTATTGTTGTATTTGACTTTTTAAATATGTGTGAATGGTCAAAGAGTATCAGAATATCTCTCCATCTGTTTTAACGTGCACAAACCTTATGAATATCAGTCCCTAAGTGTTTAATTCCAGCTAATGCCAAAGAAAAAATTAAACAGCATATGGCATTTTGTTCCCATGTTTTGTCTACACCTCTTCTGGTAGTGGAAACAGACCATATTCTATAAAAACTAAAGACTAGAGAAGTGTGGTCGAATGGTGTCTAAGAGACGGAAGGTAGTCCACACAGAGGGAGTCTCACTCCCAGAAGGAACAATAGCAGACAATGAGGGCATTTACAAGTACCTCTGAATTCCACAAGCAAATGACAACCTTGAAGACGTGACAAGGAGAGCGGCTACAGCCAAATACCTCCAACGATTTTAAATTTTCATCAGAACTCTGGCTGCAGCATTTTGGATCAGCTGAAGGCTTTCAGCTACAGTTTTTGGACTTCCTGATAGTAAAGAATTACAATAGTCCAGCCTTGAAGTAACAAATGCATGGACTAGTTTCAGCATCCACCCTTTAAAGGATATTTCTAATTTTTGCAATATTCCTCAGATGAAAGAAGGAAATTCTACAAACCTCTTTGATATGGGATTTAAATGACAGGTCCTGATCAAAAACAACACCAAGATTTTTTACTTTATTATCTGAAATCAGTTTAATCCCATCCAAATAAAGTGACTGACTAATCAGCTTATTTTTCAAAGACTCTGGCCCAAAGACTATAACCTCTGTTTTGTCTGCACTCAGAAGGAGAAAGTTAAGAGTCATGGAGCAGGCCCTAAGCACCAGAGCAATAGAGGCCCAGATTTACCACACCAGACAAGGCCCCTGGTGCAGACTATGCAAAGAGGCCCCTGAGGCAATCCAGCACATAACTGCAAGATATAACATGCTGGCAGGGAAAGCTGACATGGAGCGCCATAACCAAGTGGCTCAGTGTACGGGGACATCTGTGTAAAGTATGGGCTGGAAACCCCAAGGTCAAAGAGTGAAACACCTCCAAAGGTGGTAGAGAATGACCAAGCCAATATCCTGTGGGAATTCCAAATTCAGACGGACCAAATGGTAACGGCAAACCAACCAGACATTGTGGTGCTGGACAAAAAACAGAGGAAAGCAATTGTGGTTTACATATCAATACCAAGTGACTGTGACATCAGGAAAAGGGAACATAAATAACTAGAGAAATACGAGGGGATCAGAGAAGATCTTGAGAAAACCTGGAAGGTCACGGCTTCAGTGGTACCCGTGGTCATTGGGGCACTCAGGACAGTGACCCCCAAACTTGAGGAGTGGTTACATCAGATCCCTGGAAATACATCAGACATCTCGATCCAGAAATGTGCAATTCTAGAAACAGCAAAGATGCTGTGCAGAACCCTCAAGCTCCCAGGCCTGTGGTAGAGGACCCGAGCTTGGAGGAAAAAAAGGAGACCTCACTCAGCGGTTGAGGAAGAGTTTTATTTTTATATACATACATTTTTATATACATATATAGCATTATATATATTAGTGGTGGGCCACTACTGCCGTTACGCTGTATTAGAGGGAAACGCCGTTTTTTTTTGCATTTGGCCCTTATTTTACGTTATTACTAGTAATGTTGAGATGAGCCGAGGCTTCGAGGCGTGTGTCGAGTAATGGAGGGGGCTGGTTTCCCCAAAGCGCGTGGGGAGGCGTGATTCATTTAGACGAGGGGCCAAAATTGATGACGTCCGAGGCCTCGCTACCGTGATACCAAGTGACCGCTTCGGGAAGAGGTTCAGAAAGCACAAGAATTTTGAAAGGCATCTAAACAGCCTCAGTGTTCAGTCAAGATGTGGGTGTTTGGAGAAGAGATGCTCTCAGCTGGATAAAGTTTGGATAGAATAGATTGTTTGGAAAAACAACCAATCCAGTTGCTTAAAGCTAATTTGGTTAGAATAAAATATGTAATGATCAAACTTTGAGTAAACCACCGGACAAAGCCAGTGTTAACACGTCAGTGTTAAGTAGTATTTTCTCCAAACTACGGTTATCTACATAGGTGGCCTCATCTGTAAGAGACAGGCTCCCGCTCTAGAGGTTGATGGTTCAAGGCCTTTCTTTGACTTTTGAGAGTTGCGATTAAACTTAATTATTTTGACTGATGAGACTAATTTACATTGTTTTGCCCGAGTAAAAATACAGATTGGGTAAATTATGTCGGTTAAGCCAAAAGATTGGTTGAACACAACTTCCAACCTGATTAAAACCAAAAAACGTGGAAAACGATCATGTTTGAAGAAATATGTCTAACACCTTTCATTTTGCTCATCATTGGCCAATTTACACAAACACTTTCACTGTCTGCTTGAGTTTTTTTCACTCAAATGGCAGAAAACTGTGTACCTTAAATGATTGTTCTAAGAAACTTTACACTTAAAGAAAACTTACAAAAGATTTTATTATACACACCACCCATTAATAATTTCAAAGGAACTTAAAAGGGGAAAAAAAGAAAAACAGTTGCAAAAAAATCACAGATTTTATTACAAACTGTAGTTCTGCACTCCACCAGTAGGTGGTGCCATGTTTACATGAAGCCTCATGAACTGAGGGGATCGTAGAAGCAATTGGGCCAAACGGTTCAATGCCTCATGAGGCTTCATCTCACCATCACTAGTTATTCCATCATGTTCTACTCACCCATATAAGTTTTGTGTCATTTGGAGCCATCCTGAAGATATTCCGTTAGGTTATATCCAGGTAACGTCTTCCTATGGGCAGTTGACTTGAAGGCACAAACTGAACTTTTCATAATTTATTGTTTATGGTACGCCAGCATTCATAACGTAGGCGAATCACTGTCCCCTAGACAGCCGCGATTATATTTTATATATTTATATCTTATTAAAACGAAGCGGCGCGTGTATGAAGTCATCCGCGTGTGCCGGCTACCGTTCATTCTTCCTGTAGCGACCTGTGGCCCGGGCTTCCTGTTACGACTCCAGTGCGCAAGCGCGTATGACGTCATACACGCGACGTCATGAAGTTTTTATTTTTTTTTTTTTTTTTTTCACAAATCCAAAAAACACTTTCAGAAAAGCAGAAACGTACAATTGAAAATATGCCATCCATAACAGTTTTCTTTCATAAAAAGAAAAATAAACATAAAACATTAAAGAATGAGAAAAAAATAGGGCTTGGTCGTCATGACCTAAGCACTTTGCGTCGCCGCCATCTTGATGGCCTCTTTTACCGCTGCTCAGACTACTACCTATGACTACCGCATACTGTACTCCCTCTCAGCCGTGTTTTAATTTGATTAATTTCACCTTAACTTGATTTTAACCATGGTAAACCGTTGCTGTATTGTGGGCTGTAACAGCGCAACACATGATCGCCATGGGAACAACATAGAAAATGGGTTAACTTTCCAACGCTTTCCTGCCTGGAGGCGCAACCACGGAGACCAAGCGTCAGAGATAAAGAGTCGTCGGCCAGCTTGGATCGCGGCTGTAAGAGGACCGAACATAACTTTCCACAGTATCCCGATGTCAATGAGAGTGTGTTCCCTGCACTTTCATTCTGGTAAGTTAAAGATGCACAGTTTTATTTTATAGCCTACATTGTGTCTTTCCTTCAAAGTTGGGATCTTTTACGGGAAAATAATAAAATCGGCAGCAGGAAAAGGCTCAAATACGTGAGAAACCCGGAGGGTTTAGGAAGGGTTGGCAGTTAACGTTACTAACTACACCTTTGAAACACATAGCAGCTAGTTAAAAGTACATTACATGCGTGAGTGGTTGTTAGCACTAACGGTTAGCAGTTACTAAACTAGCAGGTTCCAGAGCCTGTCTAAGCACAGCTTACCTTTGTACGGATTACTGTGTTCCCACTGTTTGCTGGCTTTATGATCTGCAGCTCCTGAACCCATCCATTCATGAACTGCACATGAGACTCCAAGGACTTGTAGCTTGGGAACTGTTTTGAAGTATAGGCACTCACTCATCGGTGCTCCACTCATTGTTTGGAACTTCACATGGATCCAAATTATTAATAATGCTGATTTTGTCAACATACCGGTCTGTGGCTTCTCTATTTAATGTGTCCCGGTAAATTCCAGATCCTTTTCGGGATTTTAACATCTTTTTTCTCTCTACTTCTACGTCTCTTCATTCAACAACAACGTTGTATCAGAGCTATGTTTACGTTAGCGTAGCCATCAAGATGGCTGCCACATACCACAATGCAACGCGGATCCCGAGCCCTATTAAATTAAATTAAATTAAACAGAAAAAAAACACAGGGGTTTAGCTAAAGTATATTGCAATCAAGTCTAAAACTTTAAGGCTTTGTTGTTCTCCAGTTCTCGAGGCATGAAAACTTTTAATATCGTTTTGGAATGCTTGAAAATTTGGAGAAACTTTAAAGAATCTGCACTTGTGGATAAAGAATTTTCCCATAATGAAAATAATATTACATAAAAATTCCACATTTTTATCATGAAAAGTAAGGCCAAATTTAACTCCTTTATACTCAAAATTAGGAATCACATTTTTTTTCTTTAATAGCCAATCATAAATCTTGTCCCAAAAAGACTTAACCACACAACAATTGAAAGATGTTCTTGTGATTCTAGATCTTTCTGACAAAAGTTACATACATTAACATCAAATTTAAATCTTAAACTTAAGAACTCTATTTATAGTTTTAAAATGAACTTATTTCATCTTTGGTAATATAGGAAATGAGAAAAATCTGGTTCTAACCTTAAGAACTTCCAACTCTGAAAACACGTTTAAAGATAAGTTCCTCTTAACTGGGAGAGGAAAAATTGTGTTGTTTATGTGTTCTCTAATCATTTTTTT